TGGTAAGGGTAGGTAACAACACATCTGCCACACTGATCCTCAACACGGGGGCCCCTCAGGGGTGCGTGCTCAGTCCCCTCCTGTACTCTCTGTTCACCCATGACTGCATGGCCAGGCACGACTCCAACACCATCATTAAGTTTGCCGACGACACAACAGTGGTAGGCCTGATCACTGACAACGATGAGACAGCCTATAGGGAGGAGGTCAGAAACCTGGCCGTGTGGTGCCAGGACAACAACCTCTCCCTCAACGTGACCAAGACAAAGGAGATGATTGTGGACTACAGGAAAAAAAAAAGAGGACTGAGCACGCCCCCATTCTCATCGACGGGGCTGTAGTGGAACAGGTTGAGAGCTTCAATTTCCTTGGTGTCCACATCACCAACGAACTATCATGGTCCAAACACACCAAGACAGTCGTGAAGAGGGCACGACAAAGCCTATTCCCCCTCAGGAGACTGAAAAGATTTGGCATGGGTCCTCAGATCCTCAACAAATTCTACGGCTGCACCATTGAGAGCATCCTGACTGGTTGCATCACCGCCTGGTATGGCAACTGCTTGGCCTCCGACCGCAAGGCACTACAGAGGGTAGTGCGTACGGCCCAGTACATCACTGGGGCCAAGCTTCCTGCCATCCAGGACCTCTATACCAGGCGGTGTCAGAGGAAGGCCCTCAAAATTGTCAAAGACTCCAGCCACCCTAGTCATAGACTGTTCTCTCTGCTACCGCACGGCAAGCGGTACCGGAGTGCCAAGTCTAGGTCCAAAAGACTTCTCAACAGCTTCTACCCCCAAGCCATAAGACTCCTGAACAGCTAATCATGGCTACCCGGACTATTTGCACTGCCCCCCCCACCCCATCCTTTTACGCTGCTGCTACTCTGTTAATTATTTATGCATAGTCACTTTAACTCTACCCACATGTACATAATACTTCAACTACCTCAACTAGCCGGTGCCCCCGCACATTGACTCTGCACCGGTACCCCCCTGTATATATAGCCTCCCTACTGTTATTATATTTTACTTCTGCTCTTTTTTTTCTCAACACTTTTTTTGTTGTTGGTTAAGGGCTGTAAGTAAGCATTTCACTGTAATTTCAGCACCTGTTGTATTCGGCGCATGTGGCCAATAAAATGTGATTTGATTTGATTTAATATTAAGGGTTACCTCAGTAGTTGGATGAGCGAAAATGTCCCTTCTGCTCCTTGACTGAATTCATTCTAAATGTATAGTATGTTGTTGCTATCCTTGTGAGGCAATCCAGGTGTGCATTGGTTAGTCTGTTTCTGTTTTTGTTTCACAATGTTCATTGTTGAAAATGTTGCTTCACATGAATAAGTGCTGACAAAAAATGATGTCACATTTTGCACACACTGCTTCAGAAGTGGATACTCTGTGTCTGACACAAGACTCCAGAAATGGGTAACACCTGATCTTAGTTCACCTTGCAATGTGTCATTTGCCTGCAACTCCACTATCTCACTCTCTGTTCCAGCACGGTCAGGACAGAGGGCTGTGAGGACTGGGGTCAGAGATGACACTGGCACATGAAAGGGGTTCTCAATGAATTTGAAAAACTCCTTGTACTCCATGATATCCTTGAATCTTGACTCAAACTCCAACTTCAACTCTTCCAACACACGCACAAATGCATCATAGCTAAAATGTTGCAGTGTGTCTGGGTTGGATGTGGTGACTGCTCTGAGTTTTGGGAAATGAACAAACTGTCTGTCAGGTATGAACAGTGTGGTGATTTTATTTTTGAAATGCTGTGACAATACGCACCATTTTGCCTGGAGTTTTAGCTTTCCCTTGGAGCTGGAGATTCACCGTGTTCAGGTGGCAGGTGATGTCAGTTAAAAAAGCCAGCTTTAATATCCACTGTGGATCATCCATCTCTGGCTCCTCTCTCACCTTGCTTGCAACAAATTCACGGATTTGAGGAGGAGAGAGAGAAATCTTTCCAAAACTCTGCCACGAGACAGCCATCTCACCTCATTGTGAAATATCAAGTTGCTGTATTCTGTCTGGTATTCCTCCAGCAACTCACGGAATTGCCGGTGACCCAGTGCCCTAGTAATAATAATGTTCACCACGCACACGACTTGCTGCATCACATTCTGTAAGTCACAGTCTTTGAGTTTAGCCACAAGTGCTTCCTGATGAATGATCCAATGAAACGTAACAAATTCGGGAATATCCTCTCTCTTTCTCATCAAGCCTATGAGTCCCTTCTCCTTCCCTTGCATGTTTGGGGTGCCGTCAAGTGCACACAGATGTCAGATTTGACCAGTCAATATTATTAGCATCAAAAAATGTAACAAGGGCTTTCAGAATTTCCTTTCCTCATGTTTGTCCTTGAAGGGGCAGTAAACATAAAAGATCCTCTCTGAACGACTCGTTTTGAAGGAAGCGGACCCAAACACATAATTGGGCAACGTCACTTACAGTGAGGGAAAAAAGTATTATACGTTTGCCCACTGACAAAGGAATGATCAGTCTATAATTTTAATGGTAGGTTTATTTGAACAGTGAGAGACAGAATATCAACAAAAAAATCCAGAAAAACACATGTCAAAAATGTTATACGTTGATTTGCATTTTAATGAGGGAAATAAGTATTTGACCCCCTCTCAATCAGAAAGATTTCTGGCTCCCAGGTGTCTTTTATACAGGTAACGAGCTGAGATTAGGAGAACACTCTTAAAGGGAGTGCTCCTAATCTCAGCTTGTTACCTGTATAAAAGACACCTATCCACAGAAGCAATCAATCAATCAGATTCCAAACTCTCTACCATGGCCAAGACCAAAGAGGATGTCAGGGACAAGATTGTAGACCTACACAAGGCTGGAATGGGCTACAAGACCATCGTCAAGCAGCTTGGTGAGAAGGTGACAACAGTTGGTGCGATTATTTTGCAAATGGAAGAAACACAAAAGCACTGTCAATCTCCCTCGGCCTGGGGCTCCATGCAAGATCTCACCTCGTGGAGTTGCAATGATCATGAGAACGGTGAGGAATCAGCCCAGAACTACATGGGAGGATCTTATCAATGATCTCAAGGCAGCTGGGACCATAGTCACCAAGAAAACAATTGGTAACACACTACGCCGTGAAGGACTGAAATCCTGCAGCGCCCGCAAGGTCCCCCTGCTCAAGAAAGCACATATACAGGCCCGTCTGAAGTTTGCCAATGAACATCTGAATGATTCAGAGGAGAACTGGGTGAAAGTGTTGTGGTCAGATGAGACCAAAATCGAGCTCTTTGGCATCAACTCAACTTGCTGTGTTTGGAGGAGGAGGAATGCTGCCTATGACCCCAAGAACACCATCCCCACCATCAAACATGGAGGTGGAAACATTATGCTTTGGGGATGTTTTTCTGCTAAGGGGACAGGACAACTTCACCGCATCAAAGGGACGATGGACGGGGCCATGTACCGTCAAATCTTGGGTGAGAACCTCCTTCCCTCAGCCAGGGCATTGAAAATGGGTCGTGGATGGGTATTCCAGCATGACAATGACCCAAAACACACGGCCAAGGCAACAAAGGTGTGGCTCAAGAAGAGGCAAATTAAGGTCCTGGAGTGGCCTAGCCAGTCTCCAGACCTTAATCCCATAGAACATCTGTGGAGGGAGCTGAAGGTTCGAGTTGCCAAACGTCAGCCTCGAAACCTTAATGACTTGGAGAAGATCTGCAAAGAGGAGTGGGACAAAATCCCTCCTGAGATGTGTGCAAACCTGGTGGCCAACTACAAGAAACGTCTGACCTCTGTGGTTGCCAACAAGGGTTTTGCCACCAAGTACTAAGTCATGTTTTGCAGAGGGGTCAAATACTTATTTCCCTCATTAAAATGCAAATCAATTTATAACATTTTTGACATGCGTTTTTCTGAATTTTGTTGTTGCTATTCTGTCTCTCACTGTTCAAATAAACCTACCATTAAAATTATAGACTGATCATGTCTTTGTCAGTGGGCAAACGTACAAAATCAGCAGGGGATCAAATACTTTTTTCCCCTCACTGTACATCAGTGCTTTCATCAAGCGCAATACTAAAACACGGCACCATGGATGTCAGTAATCAGTTGCTTACCGATGTCTTCTATGCGTCTTGTTATGGTCGAGTCTGAGAGTTGCAGTCCCTTAATTTGCTTTAAAATGGCTTCCTTGTTTGTGAAATCAGCATACAATATTTTGGCTGACGCCAAAAAACATTATTTGACAATCTACGCGTCTGTGAAGGCCTTCTTGTTTCTTGTGAGTAACCAAGCAATCGCAAATGTTGCCTCTGTCGTTTTCTCTGCAAAGTGCTAGATCTGTCCATTTGTTGTTGTCCTTTGAGTTGCGCCATTTTGTTGTTTCTGAGGTTGCTTTGTGGCGGATATGTTTTGTTAAAGTGGGCATGGTGTGACTGGAAATGTTGCTCTAAATTTGCTTTTTTAAAACAATTGACTGCCTTCTGGCAAATAAGACAAAGTGAGCTAGTCCCATCATGCATTACAAAAAAATAACGTTACTTGTCTGTCCATTTCTCTTGGAACTTTCTGTGTTCTTCTTGAATCGACCGTATCCTTCTCTCAGCCACCGGAGCAACGTTAGCTAGCTGCATTTCCCCGACGCCATCTTCCTGATTTTCCTGGTTCTCCTGTGGTTGTTCGTTCATAGCTGTCACGTTGATCTCCAGCTCTTCCCCCTCATTTTCATTGTCAATAGATTTACGTTTTTTATTTACTTTTTATTTTTTATAAATCGATCCATGTCGACCAGACTGCAACATTTGTTAGTAGCAAACTGATATGTGTCGGTCGCTGTAGCTGAGCAGTTGCGTTCTATTTCGGCCTTTCTGTTCAACAGCTGCGCTATACTGCTATCTATCTGCCGTCCAGGGAACAATAGATATATTCAATGAAGTGATTCAGGCCTGCTTTAAACACATTGAATTGAAATTGTATCATTGTTATGTATTATGAATGGAAAATAGGAAAATCACCGCAAGCAGCAAATTAAGGGCTCGCGGGCCGCATGTGCGCAATGAGTACCACTGCCGTAGAGAATAATACAAACTTTCCTGTAGAACTGTGTTAGAGGTGATGGATAATCTCTGACCTCACAGTGCTCTCTGTGCAGTGACTGGAGAGCTTTGATGTCGTCTGGGCTGATGTTGTCTACGTTGGTCTCTCCCAGGTCCAGCTCCGCAAAGTCTGGCAGCGCCCGCGACGCGTCTGTCAGGGAGAGACACATGGAAATCTGACAAGGTCAACAGCAATTCACGTTATGAATCCAGTAAAAAGCAGAGAAACACTGGGGTAGATTTTTAACAAGGACATTCTGAAGGCTGAGAAAATCATATCAGTGGTTCATTGCAGAATATAACCGACAGGGGAACCCTTAGCAGACTGCTTACAGCACTCAGTGGAGGAGCACTTTCATCAAGTGGTATCAAACAACTTATTGTGTCATAAAAAGGCCTGCTGGGAACATCAAACAGTAGCAATCTATTGATGCTGAAAGTCACTTAGTCTACACACACAGAAGCATACACACTACTCACTCACCCAGGTACTGCTGGTGGTGCTGGCTCTGTGCGATGACGGTCTGCTCCGCTGCACTGGGGGTGTATTGGCCTCCGCCTGAGAAGTTCTCCCCAGATACACCATCAACCTTCTGCACCGGCTTAAACCTATAATGACAATGCCTCAGTCAGTACTGTTTGTGTATGTACACTGAGTATACCAAACATTAGGAACACCTTCCTAATATTGAGTTGTACCCCCCCTTTTGCCCTCAGAACAGCGTCAATTTGTCGGCGCATGGACTCTTCAAGGTGTCGAAAGCGTTCAACAGGGATGCTGGCCCATGTTGACTCCAATGCTTCCCACAGTTGTGTCAAGTTGGCTGGATGTCCTTTGGGTGGTGGACCATTCTTGATACACATGGTAAACTGTTGAGCGTGAAACACCCAGCAGCGTTGCAGTTCTTGACACAAACCGGTACGCCTGGCACCTACTACCATACCCCCTTCAAAAGGCACTTAAATATTTTGTCTTGCCTATTGACCCTCTGAATAGCACACACACACACACAATCCATGTCTCAATTGTCTCAAGGCTTACAAGTCCTTCTTTGACCTGTCTCCTCCCCTTCATCTACACTGATTGAAGTGGATTTAACAACTGACATCAATAAGGGCTCATAGCTTTCACCTGGAATCAACTGGTCAATCTATGTCATGAAAAGAGCAGTGTTCTTAATGTTTTGTATACTCAGTGTAGGTATGCACTGTATGTACAGTGCATTCTGGAAAGTATTCAGACCCTTTCCTCCACATTTTGTTACGTTACAGCCTTATTCTAAAATGGATTAAATAAATAAAAATCCTCATCAATCTACTCACACAATACCCCATAATGACAAAGCGAAAACAGTTTTTTTGGACATTTTTGCAAATGTATTAAAAATAATAAACTGAAACACCTTATTTACATAACTATTCAGACCCTTTGCTATGAGACTCGAAATTGAGCTCAGGTGCATCCTGTTTCCATTGATCATCCTTGAGAGGTTTCTACAACTTGATTGGAGTCCACCTGTGGTAAATTCAATTGATTGGACATGATTTGGAAAGGCACACACCTGTCTATATATGGTCCCACAGTTGACAGTATATGTGTCAGAGCAAAAACCAAGCAATGAGGTCGAAGGAATTGTTCGTAGAGCTCCGAGACAGGATTGTGTCGAGGCACAGATCTGGGGAAAGGTACGAAAAAATGTCTGCAGCATTGAAGGTCCCCAAGAACACAGTGGCCTCCATCATTCTTAAATGGAAGAAGTTTGGAACCACCAATACTCTTCCTAGAGCTGTCCACCCGGCCAAACTGAGCAATCGGGGGAGAAGGGCCTTGGTAAGGGAGGTGACCAAGAACCCGATGGTCACTCCGACAGAACTCCAGAGTTCCTCTGTGGAGATGGGAGAACCTTCCAGAAGGACAACCATCTCTGCAGCACTCCAGCAATCAGGCCTTTGTGGTAGAGTGGCCAGATAGAAGCCACTCCTCAGTAAAAGGCACATGACTGCCCACTTGGAGTTTGCCAAAAGGCACCTAAAGGACACTGACCATGAGAAACATTATTCTGAATGCCAAGAGTCACGTCTGAAGGAAACCTGGCACCATCCCTATGGTGAAGCATGGTGGTGGCAGCAACATGTTGTGGGGATGTTTTTCAGCGGCAGGGACTGGGAGACTAGTCAGGATCGAGGGAAAGATGAACGGAGCAAAGTACAGTGAGATCATTGATGAAAACCTGCTCCAGAGCGCTCAGGACCTCAGACTGGGGCAAAGGTTCACCTTCCAACAGGACAATGACCCTAAGCACACAGCCAAGACAATATAGGAGTGGCTTCGGGACAAGTCTCTGAATGTCATTGAGTGGCCCAGACAGAGCCCAGACTTGAACCCGATCGAACATCTCTGGAGAGACCTGAAAATAGCTGTGCAACGACGGTCCCCATCCAACCTGACAGAGCTTGAGAGGATCTGCAGAGAATAATAGGAGAAACTCCCCAAATACAGGTGTGCCAAGCTTGTATCGTCATACCCAATAAGACTCAAGGCTGTAATAGTTGCCAAAGCTTTTTCAACAAAGTACTGAGTAAAGGGTCTGAATATTTATGTAAATGTGATATTTCAGCTTTTTCTTTTAAATATACATTTGCAAACATTTCTAAAAACCTGTTTTTGCTTTGTCATTATGGGGTATTGTGTGTAGATTGATGAGGGGAAAAAAACAATTTAATCCATTTTAGAATAAGGCTGTAACGTCAACAAAATGTGGAAAAAGTCAAGGGGTCTGAATACTTTCCGAATGCACTGTATGTATGTATGTATGTATGTATTGTACCTCTGTTTCTGTTGGACAGGCTGCTGTCTGAGTGCCATGTACTGCATGTCCTCCTGCAGTCTGTTGAGAGGAGAGTCCGGCTTCAGCCGGATCCCATAGTAGTGGTACTTTGAGTTCCCTCTGCAACACACACACCGCCAGGAATGAACAAACAGCTAACAGTTCTCAGTGTTTCCCCTATATTCATGTAGCAGCGGGGGCCCACCACCAAAACAGCGGGGGGGAGTTATCAGAGCGTGTCTGTCCTCTCAGTAGCTCACCTTGTGCCGAGGCGTCGCGTGCGTAGCCCCATGAAGATCGAGCGGATGAGTTTGCCGAAGGAGGCGGCGTTGACCGGGTCCAATTTCTGCTCCTGGCAGTGGCGCAAGTAGTGGTTGTAGAGGGTGGAGCGAGGCAGACTCACCCCTTCCGCAGTCTCATAGTTATCCAGTAGCCATTGCAGCTGTGGGGGAGAGAAGATATTATGTCAATTACACACATGTATGTCACTACAGCGCTCTGTAATCCACAGCAGATGCATGTTTCACCCCCACTTGTCTGTAAATATTAACACCCCCCTTCCCTAGCATTAAAAGCACAATTAACTAAAGCAGCGAAAAATTAAAATCTGAGCATAGGAAGCACCCCCCACCACCAGAGAGAAGGAGAGGGAGGGGCTAAGAGCTAGATCTGGGAGGTACTAGAGAATGAGCACAGCTATACAGGGCAGGCAGGCGAGGCGTTTAGAGTGGCGACTTACATGGCTGTTGAGCAGCGAGCTTCTCTGACTGGATAAACCTTCAGTCTTTTGGAGCGTCTCAATCGCCATTTCAATCTGATAGACCAAGGAGCAAAAAAAATGGAAGGAAAAACAAAAAACAACAAAAGGAAAAAGTTGCAGTAGAATACTGATATAGTACTGACACACATAGAAAATCAGAAAAATCCAGAACAGATCCGAAAGCAAGCATCACCCAAACTAGTGCCAAAAGCCCAGCATAGCAAAGAGTTTAAACTTAAATTCACCTAACTGTCTTTTGAATTACATTTCCCATTATCTTAATGAACCAGAGTGCTAACAGAAAGTCAAGCGCCACAGTAATCAGAAGCTGTGAAACTACCATATTCAGCTACCAGAGGGCAGCACAGATCCACTGAGGTGGACCACACTCATTGCGCATGTTAGAGTGGATCACTTTTTTCAAGTCCTTTCAAAGTGTGTTGCGTTATGGTTTTTAAAATGGTCAGACTTATACGCCATGTCGACTGCATGAACTTTACAAAAATCATGTGATCAAAGGTCATGCAGTGTTTGATGAAGTCGCCTACAAGTTGCTGCACTTGCTTCTCACCTGCATTGTGTGAGGCACTATGTATCAACCAATCATTAGGATGTTTTTGTTTGACCCGTCTCAAAATACACATCAGCCAATTACAATTGTCGATTTACATGATAGTACACTACATTGTAGCTGGTTCCATCAGATAACCTGCCACACGTTAGCCCTTTGCCCTATGCTAACCTCACCAGATGACAGTGATGATTTCCTGAAACAAGTTCTACATCAGCCAATTACAAATGTTGACATAGATGGTGGTGAACAAACACTTTTCTATAAGAGCATCCTTAACAAAGTCAAGCACTCTCGTTATCATCCTACAGATGGCAGTATTGCAGTAATAGTGTTACGTTTTTTAAAAGAAGTTTATCGCGAGTCCAGACTCGAACCCACATTGGCGAGCATCCACACTAGAGGAAAGTTCAATGTTTATCGTTCTACAGTACACCTGTCAATCAACTGATCAACACATCCTACTGCATGCTGTAGGCCTATTAATAAAGTGGTAACACAAGATCATTCAGTGCTTTCAGGCTGTCTTCATTGTCATAGTGACAACTGCAAATAATGCAATGAAAAATAACAAAAAACTGTATTTAAATGTATTAATTCAACAGCAAACGCTGTTTAGCCAGCACATCTTTTACAGCATGTCATTGCTTGCCTCGTTGCTCAAGTGTTTCACCTTGATTGTGTAAGGCATATAGGCTACACTGTACTGTACTGATTGTGTAAGGCATATAGGCTACACTGTACTGTACTGATTGTGTAAGGCATATAGGCTACACTGTACTGTACTGATTGTGTAAGGCATATAGGCTACACTGTACTGTACTGATTGTGTAAGGCATATAGGCTACACTGTACTGTACTGATTGTGTAAGGCATATAGGTACACTGTACTGTACTGATTGTGTAAGGCATATAGGCTACACTGTACTGTACTGATTGTGTAAGGCATATAGGCTACACTGTACTGTACTGATTGTGTAAGGCATATAGGCTACACTGTACTGTACTGATTGTGTAAGGCATATAGGCTACACTGTACTGTACTGATTGTGTAAGGCATATAGGCTACACTGTACAATGTTTTATATGCGTTTTTATAAATCATCTACTTTGTCACATATGCGTTATCTGACTTGAGCACCAACAGTGGAGTTTTTTTTCCTCAAAAAACCTTCCCCACGGGGAAATTCACGGCCACCGTACCTTGCCGTCGCTGGCCTTACTACCTTAGTGGATCACGCCACCAATTAATGATAGCAGTAAAGCTAAAATTACAGCTACACTAAATATACACAAAACTATGTGGACACCCCTTCAAATCAGTGGATTCAGTTATTTCAGCCACACCCGTTGCTGACAGGTGTATAAAATTGAGCACACAGCCATGCAATCTCCATAGACAAACATTAGCTGTAGAAGGGCCTTGCTGAAGAGCTCCGTTACTTTCAACGTGGCACCGTCATAGAATGCTTCCTTTCCAACAAGTCAGTTCGTCAGATTTCTGCCCTGCTAGAGCTGCCCCAGTCAACTGTAAGTGCTATTATTGTGAAGTGGAAGCGTCTAGGAGCAACAACGGCTCAGCCGTGAAGTGGTAGGCCACACAAGCTCACAGAACGGGACCGCCGAGTGCTGAAGCGCGTAAAAATCGTCTGTCCTCGGTTGCAACACTCACTACCGAGTTCCAAACTGCCTCTGGAAGCAACGTCAGCACAAGAACTGTTCGTCTGGAGCTTCATGAAATGGGTTTCCATGGCCGAGCAGCCACACACAAGCCTAAGATCACCAATGCCAAGCATCGGCTGGAGTGGTGTAAAGCTCACCGCCATTGGACTCTGGAGCAGTGGAAACGCGTTCTCTAGAGTGATGAATCACACTTCACCATCTGGCAGTCTGACGGACGAATCTGGGTTTGGCGGATGCCAGGAGAACGCTACCTGCCCCAATGCATAGTGCCAACTGTAAAGTTTGGTAGAGGAGGAATAATGGTCTGGGACTGTTTTTCATGGTTCGGGCTAGGCCCCTTAGTTGCAGGGAAGGGAAATCTTAACGCTACAGCACACAATGACATTACAGACAATTCTGTGCTTCCAACTTTGTAGCAACAGTTTGGGGAAGGCCCTTTCCTGTTTCAGCATGACAATTTACATTTTAGTCATTTAGCAGACGCTCTTATCCAGAGCGACTTACAGTTATAGTGAGTGCATCATTTTTTTTTTTTCATACAATGCCCCCGGGCACAAAGCGAGATCCATACAGAAATGGTTTGTCGAGATCGGTGCGGAAGAACTTGACTGGCCTGCACAGAGCCCTGACCTCAACCTCATCAAATACCTTTGGAATGAATTGGAATGCCGACTGCGAGCCAGGCATAATCGCCAAACATCAGTGCCCGACTTCACTAATGCTCTTATGGCTGAATGGATCAAGTCCGTGCAGCAATGTTCCAACATCTAGTGGAAAGCCTTCCCAGAAGAGTGGAGGCAGTTATAGCAGCAAAGGGGGGACCAACTCCATATTAATGCCCATGATTTTGGAATGAGATGTTCGACGAGCAGCTGTCCACATACTTTTGGTCATGTAGTGTATTTAACAAGACCACGAGCATCAGACTTATTTTTGTAAAAACAATTTACGAATATAAAACGTGCATGTTGTATAATCCTCCTACGTCTTTATTGCTGTGAAAGCACATGAATGTGTGTCAAGCTGATAGGCGAAAACGTGAACATTTTGTCTAACGTTAGTACTAATAGCCTATCCAAGTATGCCTAAATGCAATATTGGCACAAAACATTTTGTTACAGACCAATTTAACAACAGTAAATCTTGAATTTGAAGGTTTAAAATATCCCTCTGGTGGCCAGGGTTGATTTTAATAAATGCAATTGGTTGGTGGATATAAAGTCTAAGATCTTTGATAGGCTGATGCGGAATTTTGTTACAGGAAATAATCACAGTCATCTGGTGAGGTTAGCATAGGGCTAACGTGTGCCAGATTATCTGATGGGACCAGCTACAATGTAGCGTTCGACGATTTTAACTGGCTGATGCACATTTTTAGACAGAGAAACTGTTTACATTTAAACGGTTTCTAATGTTCGCAAGTTTGGCCCCGTTATGTTTTCAGTTTGTGAGTGTGTGATATGGGGGTATAAAATTATTCGACATTTATACAGAAAAACATTTATAAATAATAGCAGCTTTGTTGACACTGCCCTGTTGGTCTGAGCCTTGCTGTTGGAAAACCACTACAGTGTCCGACTTTTGGCTGTCGAAGATGCACCTTCTGACTTCACTTGCCGACTTCCATCTACAATCGTCTTCGTTAGGCTTACTGCTCAAACACACCCACTGTGTTTTGTCTTAAAAGCTTCACTACACAGTAAAGCAGTACTAACAAATATTATGGTGATTACTATTTATTTACACTTTAGTTAAAACACAGCACGAGAGGAAATTCCATTTCACATTACTGGATGGGTAGATACCTATAAAAAGTACTAGCTGAGAAGACCACAGGACAGAGGGAGACTGGACAAAATAACATTCTCAGACACTGACATAAAGTAGCTAAGTGGTGCTATAGTTACTCAAGAAAGGCTTCAGATATGCATAATGACAGGCAGGAGAGAGTGGCTTGATAGACCGACTTACAGGACAGACAGGACAAGAAGAGTAAGTAAAGGGGGGCCGTACACTCACAGTGGACGGGGAGGCTCGGGTAGTCTGGGTGGCTGGGTGGGGGGCAGAGTTGTCCATGGAGTTGCCCCCGATGAGGTAGGCTCCAGAGCTGCTGATGATCTGCCCCCCGGCCAGACCCATGGTCAGACCCCCGTTCCCCCCTCCATTGTTGGCCATGCCATTGGACAACACCACCGTGGACACCTCGGATGAGCTTCCCTGCGTGTCAAAGTAGCTCCCTCCACTGTTCTGGCTGTACAGCTGGGGCTCGGAGTACGAGTATGTCCGTCTGGGCAAAAACAGTGGAGGGAAAAGTTAGGAATTTAAGCCCCAGAGCGATAGGTCAGGCTAATTTCCCTTTACATAAAGGCAAGTTTGAATAGTGCTAGAGTGCCTATTTGATGTGAATTAGCGTTGCCATTCTGAGCCTTCACGGGCATGCAATATTCCTGTGAAAGTGGAGTTTCCATAGTTACACAAATCACCTGAGGAGTAGCCGTGCCTACAAAGATTTGTGTGATTGTCGTTTCTCTCTGCAGTGACTCAGACCATTACCCTGGCCTCTGATATAATGACACCCTTCAGTGGCTTGACACAACAGGTGTTGTGGACCAGAAACATATTCTCTCTCTCAGACCTATATACAGTTGAAGTCTGAAGTTTACATACACTAAAAGGTTGGAGTCATTATAACTCGTTTTTCAACCACTCCACAAATTTCCTGTTAACAAACTATAGTTTTGACAAGTAATTTTTCAAACAATTGTTTACAGACAGATTATTTCACTTATAATTCACTGTATCACAATTCCAGTGGGTCAGAAGTTTACATACACTAAGTTGACTGTGCCTTTAAACAGCTTGGAAAATTCCAGAAAATGATGTCATGGCTTTAGAAGCTTCTGATAGGCTAATTGACATCATTTGAGTCAATTGGAGGTGTACCTGTGGATGTATTTCAAGGCCTACCTTCAAACTCAGTGCCTCTTTGCTTGACATCATGGGAAAATCAAAAGAAATCAGACAAGACCTCAGAAAAAAATGTGTAGACCTCCACAAGTCTGGTTCATCCTTGGGAGCAATTTCCAAAAAGGTACCATGTTCATCTGTACAAACAATAGTACGCGAGTATAAACACCATGGGACCACGCAGCCGTCATACCGCTCAGGAAGGAGATGCGTTCTGTCTCCTAGAGATTAACGTACTTTGGTGTGAAAAGTGCAAATCAATCCCAGAACAACAGCAAAGGACCTTGTGAAGATGCTGGAGGAAACAGGTACAAAAGTATCTATATCCACAGTAAAACGAGTCCTATATCGACATAACCTGAAAGGCCGCTCAGCAAGGAAGAAGCAACTGCTCCAAAACCGCCATAAAAAAGCCAGACTACGGTTTGCAACTGCACATGGGGTCTGATGAAACAAAAATAGAACGGTTTGGCCATAATGACCATCGTTATGTTTGGAGGAAAAAGGGGGTCCTTGCAAGCCGAAGAACACGATCCCAACCGTGAAGCACGGGGGTGGCAGCATCATGCTGTGGGGGTGCTTTGCTGCAGGAGGGACTGGTGCACTTCACAAAATAGATGGCATCATGAGAAAGGAAAATTATGTGGATATATTGAAGCAACATCTCAAGACATCCGTCAGGAAGTTAAAGCTTGGTCGCAAATGGGTCTTCCAAATTTGTGGCAAAATGGCTTAAGGACAACAAAGTCAAGGTATTGGAGTGGCAAAGCCACTACTAGGATTAAATGTCAGGAATTGTGAAAAACTGAGTTTAAATGTATTTGGCTAAGGTGTATGTAAACTTCCGACTTCAACTGTACATTCCCCTTCGTATTCATATGGGACAGTGAAGCTAAAACTTTACATTTGGCTCTATACTCTATTTTGGATTTGAGATCAAAGTTTCATATGAAGTGACAGTACAGCATGTCACCTTTTATTTGAGGATATTTTCATACATATGTTTTACCGTTAAGAAATGAATGCACTTTATGTATCTAGTCCTCCCATTTGAAGGTGTCATAAGTATTTGGACAAATTCACAAAGTTTAGTATTTAGTCTAGGGTTGTCACGGTACCTCAATTTTGACTTCCATACGGATACCAGGTTTAGTATCACAATACTCGATACCATCACAATACTCGATACGCAAAAAAAACAAGGCGTATTAGCCAGTCACAGAATGGCACTTGATCCAGACAGATCTTTTGAGTTCAATATCATTACATTTGAAATGTTATATGTCCAGACAGCCATGTATACATTAATGAATTTGACTTGAATAACTTAATAGTAATCATTTATTTGAATGGTAAATCTCTAATAAACTGGGTAAATCGAGGCCTATTCATAATACAGGGAAATGCATAGTCAATAGGAGTGTGTGCATGCATTGAGTTATTGAGCTTGATTTGGCTGCTTTCATAGGGCTACAGAGGAAAAACAATCAGTTTCCCTTCCATTTGGGACTTATGTTATTGTACAGATGAACAAGATTTGCATAGAAGAAGCAATCTCTTATTTTATAAAGTGTCTCTTTTAAAGACCCAGTAATGAAGTCATTCACACACACGGTCAGTTGCTCCGAGGGAGAGACGTGAGGCGAGTGAGATTAACTGAATTAATAGTTTGTGGTGACAATCAGCTTTGAAATCAGCATATTTTGCATTATGGTTTGCACATTATCACAAAAAAGTACTAGGGTAGTGAATTGATGTTAGCTTCAGCTGTAAGCTAGCAAGGAAAGTTAGCCTACAAAGCTGGAACTAACAGTTTATTCTTGCATTGTAAAGTGTTCTAGTCTGTAATGGACATTGTTTTGACATTGTGTTGAAACTGTGTGTTAGCTTCTGTGCAGCATGAGTGGGAAGCTAACGTTACGCAGCCCAGACTCCCAATGAGTGCAGTTGTTCCTCAGGACAGGCTAGCGCTAGCAATTAGTATGTGGAGCAGGCACGGTGCACTCACGCTATAAAGGAGACATCGACTGCGCTGATAGACAGACTTGATCCTCTCTCAATCAGTAGACGAAGTGAGACACATTTGACAGAAGTACTGAAAGTAACAAACATTTGAGTACCGAACCGTTTTTCATGTTCTAGTATCAAAAAAGTACAGACGTTTCGGTATACCGTGCAACACTAATGTATTGTGACATTTTGGAGTCAATTTTATTGTAAATAAGAATGTAATGTTTCTGAACGAGGCTACATTAATGTGGATGCTACGTTGATTACGGATAATCAAGAATGAATCGTGAATAATGATGAGTGAGAAAGTTAGAGGCATAATTATCACATGACAAAATACATTATTTACCATTCATTTCTATTTGGCACAACATAATCCGAAACACAACCAAAACAAACTGCAAATGCATCTAACAAATGTGTAGTCACAAGCTTGATGTAGTCATTGCATGCTAGGAATATGGGATCAAATACTAAACTTGACTAAATGTAATACATTATAAGTGAATTTGTCCACATACTTTTAAAAGGTTGGGCCAAGATACATAAAGTGCTTTCATTTCTAAACGGTAAAACAGATATGTAATAAAATACCCTCAAATAAAAAAGGTGACATTCTGTACTCTCGCCTCATAAAAAAATAAACAACGTGCTCGACTCCACCTTATATAAACTTAAAATCGGGTGCTGGATCCTCGTACATATTTTTAGTGCAGCAATAAAAAGGTCAATTTAAGTTTATTTACCAGAGTGCTGTCCTATTTCTGTTATCTCGCCTCATAAAACATTTGATCTCAAATCCAAAGCCAAATTAAAAGCGTCACTGTCCAAAAATAAATGTACCCACACTGCTCGCGCACATCAACGAGCGTCTGCGTAGCCAGGCGCTAAAATAGAACTTGGTTCTATTTGTGACGCTTGACGCACTGCAAGTCCTGCCTCTCCCATCTCCTCATTGGTTTTTAGGAGCATATACCCACGTGGGTGATTGAAAGATGAACTGAGGTCCACACTCCAGTCCAGTTGGTGGTGCTAATGCATCTTAAAGTTGTTTGCCAACTGCCATATAAAGTCCAAAGTAGAAGAAGAAGCCTGAAGGAGGAGAGATTACTAGAAACAAACTCGGTTTACCCTTTTATCTGTGGATTAATTGTCGGAGTAGAGGACCTTGTGCATTTCAGGTAAAATAACAACCCAATGTTTATCTCCTAAGACAAATTTGCTAGCTAAATTGCCATAAATGTTTAATGCTTTTCGACCTGTCCCCAAGTTAATATAGTTGGTTCGTTTTGATATTTCAACCTGCGTCTCCTGATCGCGTCTGGAGTGGGTGGACAAAATCAACTTGCGGACGGTCTGGTCAGCATGTAACATGACCACACCGCGTGCGTTGCAAATAAATGTACACATACATGTTATTAAATCATTGCACCCACACCGCTCGCGTGTGTCTGCATAGCCAGGCACTAAAATAGAACTTGGTTCTATTTGTGACACTTGACGTGCTGCAAGTCCCGCCTCTCCCATCTCCTCATTGGTTTTTAGGAGCATATACCCACGTGGGCGATTGAAAGATTAACTGAGGTCCACACTCCAGTCCAGTTGATGGTAATGCACCTTAAAGTTGGTTGCCAACCGCCATATAAAGTCCAAAGAAGAAGAAGCAGCCTGAAGGAGGAGAGATTACTAGAAACAGATTCGGTTTACCCTTTTATCTGTAGATTAATTGTCAGAGTAGAGGACCTTGTGCATTTCAGGTAAAATAACAACCCAATGTTTATATCCCAGGACAAATTAGCTAGCAACAGCAAGCTCGCTAGCTAAATTGCCATAAATGTTTAATGCTTTTCGAACTGTCCCCAAATTTATATAGTTCGTTTTGATATTTCAACCTGCTTGTCCCGATCGTGTCTGATGTGGGTGGACAAAATCAACATGCGCGCGCGATGGCGCACGCGTGCGAGCGGTGTGGTTAGCATGTAAGACCTATGCCAGAACTCTGGAGAGATACCAGGTTATGGATGAAAGTTTAGGGCACTGGAATGATTCTTGTTGACAAATCATCTGAACAGTAAGAAATAACCCCTGCCCTTTTTTCATGTACTCTTTTGTTGGGTAGTATATCTACTTCTATACCCAACAGAGAGCTGTGGAGGGGACAAGCAGCTGGTACGAACACACTGTTAACAGACTCAAATAGTAAGTGGGTGTGTGCTCAGCTCACTTGTTCTGCCCTGAAGTTAGACTGTGTTGAGCTAGCCTGTTAGCCAGGCCTTGCCCCTCCATCAGAGACTGCTGTCTGTGACTGT